CTCTGCCCGCAGCCCCCCGCCGCAGCGCCGGCCGCCCTCGGCGCTGCCTCCTCCGGGCCGCCCTCCGTCGCTGCGGGCACCGGCCCCGGGGCCGCCGCCGCTGCCCGGGGGGGCACCGCCCGCCTTCGCCGCGCCGCCCATCCCGTCCCGCCTCGGCCCCTTCGCCGCCGCCGCCGCCGCCGAGCCGTTCGGCGCCCCGCCCCAGATCCCCGCCCGGCCCGCCCGCGTCCCGCCCGGCATCCCGCCCGGCGTGCCCCGGTGAGACCGGCGGCGGGGCGGGCGGGATCCGATGGGATCCGATGGGATCTGATGGGATCTGATGGGATCTGATGGGGTTACACTGGGATACACTGGGGTTACACTGGGATTCGCTGGGGTGGGCTGGGATACACTGGGATCTGCTGGGGTTACACTGGGATACACTGGGGTTACACTGGGATCTGCTGGGGTCACACTGGGATACACTGGGGTTACACTGGGATCTGCTGGGGTGGGCTGGGATACACTGGGGCGGGTGGGATCCAATGGGATCCGATGGGATCCGATGGGGTCTGATGGCGTGGGCTGGGATTCGCTGGGGTGGGCTGGGATCTGCTGGGGATGGACTGGGATACACTGGGGTTACACTGGGATCTGCCGGGGATGGACTGGGATCCACTGGGGTGGGCTGGGATCTGATGGGATCCGCTGGGGTGGGCTGGGATTCGTTGGGGTGGGCTGGGATCCACTGGCATCTGCTGGGGTCACACTGGGATACACTGGGGTTACACTGGGATCTGCTGGGGATAGACTGGGATCCGCTGGGGTTACACTGGGATCTGCTGGGGTGGGCTGGGATCTGCTGGGGTTACACTGGGATCTGATGGGATCCGCTGGGGTGGGCTGGGATCTGCTGGGGTTACGCTGGGATCTGCTGGGGATGGACTGGGATTCGTTGGGGTGGGCTGGGATCTGCTGGGATCTGCTGGGGTCACACTGGGATACACTGGGGTTACACTGGGATCTGCTGGGGATAGACTGGGATCCACTGGGGTGTGCTGGGATCTGATGGGATCCGCTGGGGTGGGCTGGGATCTGCTGGGGTTACACTGGGTTCTGCTGGGGATGGACTGGGATACACTGGGGTGGACTGGGATCTGCTGGGGTCACACTGGGATACACTGGGGTTACACTGGGATCTGCTGGGGATAGACTGGGATCCACTGGGGTGGGCTGGGATCTGCTGGGATCTGCTGGGGTCACACTGGGATCTGCCAGGATGGGCTGGGATCCGCTGGGGTTACACTGGGAGTACACTGGGATGTGCTGGGGTGAGCTGGGATTCGCTGGGATGGACTGGGATCTGCTGGGGTTACACTGGGATTACACTGGGACATACTGGGATACACTGGGATTACACTGGGACACACTGGGATCCACTGGGATTACACTGGGACATACTGGGACCCACTGGGGATCCACTGGGATTACACTGGGACATACTGGGACATACTGGGACATACTGGGATCCACTGGGGACCCACTGGGACCCCCGGGACCCCCGCTCAGCGCCCCCGTTCCCGCAGGAGGCCCCCGGCGGCCCCGAGCCGCCCGACCATCATCCGCCCGGCCGAGCCCTCCCTGCTGGATTAACCGCGGGATCCGCCGGATCCTCGGGATCCAGCCCGGCCACCGCCCCCGGCACCGGGAGAAACGGGGGAAAAACGGGAAAAAACGGGAAAAAATGGGGGAAAGGCAACCCAGAGACACACAGAGCCAGCCCGGAGCTGATCCTGATCCCTGATCCCGGGGCTGATCCTGATCCCTGATCCCAAATCCCGGGACTGATCCTGATCCCTGATCCCGAATCCCGGGACTGATCCTGATCCCAGGGCTGACCCCAGATCCTGGGACGGATCCTGATCCCAAATCCCGGGGCTGATCCTGATCCCGGGGCTGACCCCAGATCCTGGGACGGATCCTGATCCCAAATCCTGGGGCTGATCCTGATCCCTGATCCCAAATCCCGGGACTGATCCCAGATCCTGGGACGGATCCTGATCCCGAATCCCGGGGCTGATGCTGATCCCGAATCCCGGGGTTTGACATTTGACCCCAGATCCCGGGGCTGATCCTGAATCCTGGCACTGATCCCAAATCCCGGCACTGATCCCAAATCCCGGGGCTGATCCCAGGTCCTGGGGCTGATCCTGATCCCAGATCCTGGCACTGATCCCAAATCCCGGGGCTGATCCCGAATTCTGAGGCTGATCCCTGGGCTGATCCCGAATCCCATCCGGGAGCTGATCCCGAATCCCGGGGCTGATCTCGGATCCCAATCCCGGATCCCATCCCAGATCCCAATCCCAGATCCCAATCCCGGATCTGATCCCGGATCCCAGTCCTGGATCCCAATCCCGGATCTGACTCTGGATCCCAATCCCAGATCCCAATCCCGGATCCCAAATCCCAGATCTGATTCCCGATCCCGATCCCGATCCTGGATCCCGATCCCGGATCCTGGATCTGATCCCGGATCCCAATCCCAGATCCCAATCCTGGATCCCGGATCCCGGCGGGGACATCTCCCGGGCAGGTCCCGGCAGCTCCGGTCCCTCCCGGTGTCTCCCGGTCTCTCCCGGTGTCTCCCGGTCACTCCCGGTCCCTCCCGGTGTCTCTCCCGATCCCTCCCGGTCTCTCCCGGTCTCTCCCGGTGTCTCTCCCGGTGTCTCTCCCGGTCCCTCCCGGTCTCTCCCGGTC